GCCCACGCGCAGAGGTTCGGCCCGCACCGGGAAGAGCTTGACGCGGTACTCGTCGAGCCGCATAGGCCCGTCGCTGGCCCTGGCCTCGTAGCGCTCCTCGAGGCGCAGCCGGGAGGCGAACGCCCGGGGGCCCGTGTGCGGATCCGGCTCCTGCTGGGACGCCCAGTCCTGGTCGAACTCCGCGGCGACCGCCGCACAATAGTCCCCCGCCGCGGCCTCTGGCACGGCCCCGCGGAGGCTCACCGGGCCTTCGCTCCCGTTGCCGCGGCCGGAGCCGTGGAGCATCGACAGGCCTTGGCAGGCGGCGGGCTCGTGCAGGGCCGCCACCTCCAGGGCCTCTGCCAGCATGCGGCGCCGGGCTCCGGGGCCCCAGCTGCCCTGCGGCGCAGAGAGGCCGCCGCAGTCGCTCACGGCGGCCCGGGGCACCAGCAGCAGGCGGGCCGTGCTGAGCCGGATGCACCCGAGGGTGCGCAGGTCCACCCGCAGCTCCGAGCCCCGGGGGACGGTGGGCCCCCATGCGGGTGGCTGCGCGACCAGCTCCGGCCTGGCCAGCTCGATGAGCTTCAGGCACATGCGCATGTTCCGCGGCACGTGGCCGTGCGCGGGGTCTGTGCCGAAGACCTGCGCGGTCCGGCCCAGCGTGTCCTGCGGAGGCGTCTTCATGTCGTCCATCTCGGCGAGGTAGACGAGCGTGCCAACGCTGCCTTCCGCGTACTTGGTGCGCGCCTCATCGTAACCTCCATATGTGTCTGGCTTGCAAGGCGTAATTGGATCAGTCTCCCAACCTGCAGCGTAGGACCAATCCTCCATGCCCCCGAAGACGGGGTAGACCATGTCGTTGATCCTGCCTAGCGGGTAGAAATGATTGCCCTGATGGTCTCTTCCGGCTGCCACCTGAATCTGCTGCCCGACCTGGCTGAAAGCAATATCGTCAGGGGACTCGGTGGACCATCCGCCCTTGCGGTGATTCGGGGAACCCCACTCGTAAGTCAATGCCCGCATTCCACCATGAAACGTGATCATGAACTGGAAAAGGTGCCTGCGGAACAATTCATTCACCGCGCGGGCTGTCTGCGTCGTCATGCACTTCGAGGGTTCCTGCATGTAGGGGAAATCTCGGTTCGGGTCCATGCCATTCTCCCAGCGTGTAGAGTGCGCGTACCCAGCAGCGTTGGTCATAGGCATAATCCAAGTGTTGCGTGTGTTCACCAAGTGCTGAACCTCTTCATCCCCAGCCATGTACTGCGTGCAAAGGAAATTGGCCAACTCGGTTACTGTGACTGGCCCGATCCTCTCGTCCCCATGCAACGCACCACTGAAGAACACCTCTGGGGTGGTGTTCGTCATCTTCTGCTTGTTCCCAATGCGAACTATCAGCGACTTGCACGGCTGTCCATCGCATGATGCCCATGATACCTCTTTGGAGGGAATGATTTCTGGAAACGCCTCCTGGGCAACGAAGGTTTCCACAATGTTGGGACACCTTCGTTCGATGTCTTCGAAGAAACGCATGGTCTCGCTGTAGCTCTTGTACGTGTACTGGCGGTCATCCTCATCACGGGAACGATCTGTAAAATTCAGCGTTTCCGTCCTCTGAGCCCACAAGATCCGCTGACCGCGCCTGCAACAAGTCTGCGTATGAGTTACAGCCAGGGGGTGCTGTGGGGCTTGCCGGTGTTCGGAAGAATGCGCTTCGTGGACGCTTGCTTGGAAGAACTTCTGGACACGCCGTAACTTCCCCCCTCCCCTAAACTCGGGTCGGGCGAAAGGGGGGGATAGCAAAGGGTGGGTTTGAGAATCAGCTCACGTAGCTGATTTTCCCAGCGCCTCCTGGCGCCGGAGGCGCCCATGTATCGAGGAATGGGCCCCTCGGTGAGGCCGAAACCAGCTGCATGCGGCAGATTTCGTAACCCCCCCTTTCCCAATCCACCCCTTTCGCTCGGCCCGATAAACTTCTGAAGCGCCCCGAGAACCGGCCCCTCGCCCCTGGACACGGGCCTCTCTGAGCGGCACCCCTCCCCTCCAAAGGGGGAGAGGAAGGATTCGAACCGCCCCCCTCTATACCTTGTCCAAACGGGGGGGGGGTCGAACCGGCCCCCCCCCCCTCCCCCTAATATAGAGCCCTCTTGGTGGTCGATCAAACTCTCATGGGATCCTGACGGGGCTCTCTCCAGCTCTACTAGAATCTGGATAAGGCTGGACCCAGCTCATTTTGACTCCTACTAGGCCTCGATCCAACTCGAATGCACGTCTACTGCAACTGTATCCAACGTTGACAAAATCCCAGTCGGGCTCGATCCAACTCTACTAGAGTCCTATTGTAGCTGGATCCAACTCTCATTGAATGCTAAGGCTAGATCCAGCTGTAATCGTAATCTAATCCTGTCATAACTGGATCTGGCTCTCATTGAATCCTTCAAGGGCTCGTCGATCGGGCTGTAGTACAATCTTAACAAGGACCCGATCCAGCCTTATCAGCATCGTACTAGAGCTCGATCGT